CCTGGGTTTGAAATAACCAAACACAGCCTGGCTGCCCAGACTCTGCCACCTTCTCCCTCCAGCTGGGCTGGGCTGATCTGGGTGCGTGGGCCCCGTGGGCGCCTGTCCTGGCCGCGGCGGGATGGAGTGCACTTTCGAAGGTATCTCCCTTCCACCTCCCCCTCCTTCCCCCGCCTGTGCACACACACTGCTTGTTTGGTGCATAGTGACGTCCAGATGTGCAACCTGCACCCGCCAGATGTGCACCCCCCCCTTGTGTGGAAACTGAGGTGGGGCATGTGGGCAAACATCCCCCCCCCCTGCAGTGGGAGAAGGTCACCCCTGTTGGCGCTGGGGGCGGGGAGGGGGGCTGAAATCTCTCCTGCTTGGTTCCATTGAATGCAACCCTGTCAGGTCAGGATCCTGGGGCAGCTGGAGAGCTGGGGACCCCCTCCAGTTGGGTGCAACCGTAGCCGCTGGAGCAGTCCCAGCAGAGCCTGACCCTGTCCCTTTGAAAGCTGCCTGGGACGGGGGACGGGGGGAGGAAAATGTCTGATTCTGTGAGCAGCTGAGTCTGGGGAGTGTGGGGCTGGATTAGTGATGGGGACAGCGGGGAACTACTCACCTGCGACAGACTGCGGAATAAACAGAATAAACATGTTTGGGGGGGGGGGGGTGTCCCCGTCAGATCTGTGACCGCCTAGAAATGCTCCATGCCAGGCCCCTGGATTATGCGAGGATGTGGTGCCATGAAGCCACGGTGATGGCCACATCAGAAATAGGCTGCACACGCCATGGTACATGCGTGTGAGAGAGAGGCTATTGTGTTCTACGTATAGAATCACACTACGTGGTCTCAGATGGACCGGCCCCCCTACAGCGTGCTGCCTTGCTGTGTATCTTGTTATAACTGTGTAATGCGGCTCTGCAGGTATACAGACCCCAAGTGCGGCTGTTTATTGTCCTCCCGGTTGTTCTGCCCGGCACTGTGCAGGATGACTCCTGCAAGTACAGGAGTGACCCAAGCGGTGCTCGGCTCTGGCTCTGGGGTACAAATCTGGCTTGATTGCCGCAGGGAAATGTGAGCCATGTTCTCACAGTGGAGGTCAGAGCAGGGGCCTGGGACCCAGGACTTCTGGCATTTGCTGACTTGGTGCATGAACTTCACCCCCGCCTGCATTTTCAGAGCGTCTCCATTTTTGGGAACCCAGCTTAGGATCCCTGGGGCCTGATTTTCCAAGGTGCTGAGCAGCCCCAGCCCCCGTTAACTTTCCCCTTTCCCCTCTGGCTGGAATGATGCCCGTGCGTCTGGCTTCAAGGCACAGCTCTGTCTCCGCCTCCTGCAGCCAGCAGAGCCGGGTTTCAGCCCCAGGCCCATGCAGCAGGCTTGTCTAGACGGGAAGGGCAGCTCCCAGGATCTGGGGCAAGCGCGTAGCTCTCTTGAAGGCAGGTCCCTGGGGATGCTCGGTGCGTTTCCTGCACACCTGACAGGCCAGAAGAGTGTTCCCAGGGATGCTGCCTCTTTCTCGCCTGATAGAGGGGCTTGGTGATGGAGTAGCCACCCCCCCACACCCGACTCATGGGAAGTGCTAATAAGGCAAATGAAGCAGAGCATGGAGAGCTGCATTTCTCCTCCCCTGTCCCATGCTTTGTCCCCGGGCTATATGGACGGGAGGGGTACAGGTCTGTTCAGACCTCAGGTCACTTCTTCACTGTGAGCTCATGATGTGGGGCCTGATCCCTGCCCCACACTGCCCCTGCAGAAACCAGAACGCCAGGCTCCATGGAGCAGAGAGAACTAGGGCAGCCGTAAGAAGACAGCAATGAGTAATGAGATGGGCACTGCTGACTTGGAGACATTTCCTCCGCTGCGTGGTTGGGCTGTTTCCTTCCTGGGGATACAGGATTGACATGGCTCAAACCCAGACCCCCCCTTACTCCCTGCTGCTCCCCAGGTCTGTCTGCTGGTTGGGCCTGGCCTCTTAAGGTATATCTATGCTGCACAGCTATTTCAGGATACTGGCGGTTGGGACACAAGAAACCTGGGTTCAAGTCCCTCCCAGAATAACTACCCCAAGTCTTAACAAGCTGCCTGTTATTTTGAAATATTTTTCAAAATAACGGGTGTGCTATTTTGCATCCCGGTAACCCTCAATCCATGAGGGCTAAGGGATGTCTCAACATTTATTTATTTGTTTGTTTAAAATATTTTTACCCCACCTCTCTATTTAAAATATTCGAGGCGGCTCCCAACATTTTTAAAACACAGTATAAATATATATAAACAATTTAAAATATGAGACCCCAGAAGGACACAAAACCTGCGAAAAACAATTGAGAGGAGGGACACGCACACACGCACAAATGCAAACCGCAATAAAAGCATGAGTAAAAAGACTGGCTTTAGCCTGATGCCGAAACAATGCTAATGTTGGTGCCATGCGAATATCCCGGTGGAGAGAATCTACGTTATTTCGAAATTTGGTGCTGCGTAGACGTGCACAATTTCAAAATAGCTTGTTCGATTGAAATAAGATTCGCAATTTGTATAGCGCAATTTGCGTATCTTATTTGGAGTGTAGGGTGCTGTGTAGATGCATCCTTAGTGATTTGCTCCAGTGTTGCTGTCATCAGGACATTGGGTAAGAGCTGACTTTACACCAGAGAAATCCACAACAAGGGGCAGAATGGAGTCGGGTGTGGGGGGGGAGGTGAGTTTTTTAGTACAGTTGGTCAAAAAAGGTCTCTGGAACCCTGAAGAAAAACCCAGGCAGGGGTGTAGGTAGCAGAAAACCGTGCTGCTTTCAAACTGGAGATTTCCTTCCATGTCAGCAGGCGAGGGACAGTGATAGTGATCAGGCTACCACACAAGAGACCTGGGTTCAAGTCCCTCCTTTGCTGTGTGCACCCCAAGACCTTGGTCAAGTCACTTAATTGCTCTGTGCCTCAGTTTCCCCTTTGTACAGTGGGGCTGGAATAATCCTGCTTTTCTTCTTCCCGCTGCATTGTCCATCTGGGTTGTAAGCTCTGGGGCAACTGGACAGCAGAGCTCTGTCTCTTGGCATGTGTACGTACAGCCCCTCACCGCAATGGGCCTTCATTGGCTCTGTGCCACCCTCATAGCCCTTCCCCATCTGCAGCCACCATGGGCCGGGGCCCTGCAGCCCCTGCTCCGTCCCTTGTTTTCTTGCCGCTCACCCTTAGGTGTTCCCTGTCAGGCTGCGATGGGAAAGCGCCTGGGCCCAGCTCCCTTACTGAGTTGCTCTCCTGTGAAGCCAGGGGAGCAGCCCAGGTGAGGAAGGGCTGCAGGATCGGGCCCGTGGGGCTTGGCTGGGCGTGGAACAGCCCTAAGAGAAGGGGTGAGATTTTAGATCCTCTCTCTCTTGCACATTCCTCGCTCTCCTGGTCTTCGGGCCCCCCCTGCTGGCTGATGCTGTTATCACACCCACAGCTGACAGGCCACGGATGGTACACGACTCCCGTGGGCCAGGGCGTACCCTACGTGGGCAGCTTGTACAGGGCTTGGCTAGAGACCCAGGGAGGCTGAAGGCTTCTGGTCCAGTCTGCCGTACTGGGCTGCTCTTTTACCTCCTCAAATTCCTCCCCCAGCCCTGTGTGGGGCGCTGAAATGGGGGGGGCTTGGGCAGCCGACCCTAGAGCTGCCCATTAGGAGACACTTGAAGAGCCTCTGCACTTCGCCTCTGCACTGCACCTCTGCACACTAGCACTGGGGACTGGGCCCCCCTGAGGCAGGCTGGGATGGAGGGAGCTTTGGAGCAAAGGTGCCGGAGGCCCAAGGCAGCCCGCAGCCGGTGGA